ATTTCTTTTTTGCCTCCATAATGGCTTGTGCGGTTTCATAATCCGTTCAATAACCTTTCTTCGAGCAGAAATCCCGTGTCACTTCTGTATACCTAATGTACACTCACGATTACATAATGTGCCTTCAAACTTGTCAGACTGCGCTGCTACCGAGTGTGCTTCTTTTGACGAGATAATTCGAAAACCGATTCTGAGAAACTATATTATAATATGATGCAGCACTCAACATTGCGGGATTCACCGAGGAAAGAAGCAGTCCCATTTCATGAATAATTTAATCGCATTCGCTCTCCTGCTGACTAATTACCGAGTTCATCCCCAGGGGCGGCATTGAAGCTTTCACAGTGGATACTGGAAACTTTTGTACAATTTGAAATAAAAAGAAATTGTTTTAAAGAAAATATTTAGAAAAATCATAATTAAAAATTAATGATCTGATAATATTTTTTATTTCTTTTGAGCTAAGAACATTAAAAATGAAGAAATAAAAAATTGGTGCGAATTTTTTTAATTAATTTTTTTACTAAAAAATAAAGAGGAAAAAAACTGCTACTGTTGAAATCAATTTAGATTTTTAATTATTATTGTTATTTTAAACGGAATATTTCAAACAGCTTCAATCTTTGAAGCAATGAAAACATTTCAATAACCTTAAAATTCCACTAAATAGAATTTGTAGAAGCCACAATAAGGAGGGAAGATTTTCTTGCTCAATATTTATTGTCACATCCTTACAATAATTACAATAATTTAGATTTTCCACGCAATCATGTGTTGATCTTGTTTGATTTTCCGTACCAAGAGAAGCGTCCTGAAACCGAATAGGTTGTTTAGCGGGAGTTTGGAATTATGGTAATTCAATCTCCTGGTGAGAAATAAGGCACAAATTGAAGGCTGGAGAAGTAGGTTGCTTGTGTGCGGCGCACAGAACTTTGCACGAGATATAGAAACTGGGGCTAGCACAATAATAATCATAATAGCATATCGCATGATGTAATCCCTGGCGCGCGGCAATTTATATTTTCAGATCGAGTCGCGACCGACCGACCAAATTTAATCCTCTTCCAAGCAGTCATTTCGCCAGAGAGGCAAATTACATGGCGTAAATTGTTTGGCGCAAATGCGTACAGCCAGGGCCTTCTTATCAAACCAGGCCCCGTATTCCAGTCACAAATAATTCAATCTCGTGGAAATTAAGTATTCATTCTGTCTTGTAAACAAGACTTCACTCGCATACTCTAATTTTTGCAATTCACCATTTGCGAAATCGAATACCATTGGTTCTTATGGCAGCCTCATCTTAGAATGATTGAATCATTTCAATCCTAAGACATGTGGTACTAGATGCAAAATAAAAAATATTGGCGTTGGAAAAATCAAAATTGGTTCAGCGTGGGGCTGTAGTCAGGCGATCAAAGATTTGTAAAAGCTCAAAAAATTGGCTTCGGTTGCCTACTTTACAAATCTTTGATCGCCTGACTACAGCTCCACGCTGAACCAATTTTGATTTTTCCAACGCCTATATTTTTTATTTTTCATTTTGTACAACATGTCTTCGGATTGAAAAGATTCAATCATGAAGCTGTCATAAGAACCAGTGTTATTTGATTTCGCAAATGGTGAATTGATTAAAATTTCACTATATATTTGATTTTTTTCTTTTTAAATTAAATTTTACTAAGTTTGCTTCTGAGCTCTGTTTCCATTTTGAAATTTCGATATAAGGAATTGTTGCCATTTCTTACAAGTAGAAGAAATTGAACAAAATAATTTCAATTTCCATTACATTAGGAAAAATAAATCGATTCCATACCAACTTTGGAAAACTTCGCAAGTAAACGGCCAGAAGTTCCACCTCGACTGTAAGACATCTCGCACTCTGGGAAATGAATAAGGGGTGCTTGAAAGAGTCTGCTCTTGACGGAATCCAATATACCCATACACAGCGTGCGCTCGCTCACGACCCTCCAACGAAGAATCAATTCGATCAAGGCGAGCCGTGTGCGAAAAGGAATGAACGGCAGGACCAGCAGCACATTATAAAAGGTGTAGGTTTTGGGCTACTTGTGTTTCTCAGCAGCAGGGCAAATATTTGCTTAATCTGATAAGCAGCCGACTGCTTTCCGCCCGATTTGCATTTTCGCCGTGGATTTGAATTTATTTTGTATGCGCAGCAACACATTTCCAGCAGCTTTCAGCCCAATTTAATTACTTATGCATGCATGCAGATGAGAGCCCAGACGGACGAAAGAGTGTTTGCTCAAGGAAGATTTAACTTTTAAATGCAACTTTCCGGTGCTGAATACGACTTTTTTTTTATAATTTAGTTATAAGACTGTTTAAATTATGTGATTATTTTGAATTTTAATAAGTTTCTAAATTACAATATTCCTCGTGGACCAAGAAGCTATTAAGAAAACAATTTTCATGTAATATGATGATCAATAACGATGCAATCAGATACTAAAATTTATAATTTCAAATAAATGGCTTTTTTATATTTCTCTTTTTAGAAAATGTTTGAGCCCAATTCAAATATCAATAATACATTATAGTTATGCATTATTATTTAATTATATAATTAATATATAAAATATGAATAAATAAAATAAGCAAATACTATATGATACAAATTATATAAATAAAAAGGACTTATGAACATCCCAGAAGTATCAAATTCTGAATCTCTGCGTGTTTTTTTTTTATTCATTTTTTATTTGTCTCCCAATTATAAATCTCACCAGGCCATCACAGGCCATGTTCACCTATATTTATTTTGTTCCAATTATAAAAAAAACTTCCAATTTCTTCAGAAAATATCTCACCCCTTTTATCTCCTAATTTTAAGAGGATTAAATCTGCGAATTAATTTTCACTCCGTCGTCACAACACGCGAAATAAACTGACAGGGCTTATTATATTTCTACCCGATTCATTTTGCTTTTGAATTTCCTTATTTTTTATTTTCTGTGCATTTGTGAATTTATATTTGGTGGGTGGTGAGGTTCCGTCGGCGGCTCGAGTTTTATCGATTGAGCGCAGCAGCCGACGCGGCCGCAGTTGCCGGCCGGGTTGGGCCAACCGGCAAGACATTGCGATGGTTCATTTTCATTTGTCCGGGTCTGCAGAGAGCACCCTTATCCGCTGCTCGTCTGCCGCTTAAAAAGTTTCCACCTCCGGGCTTTCTCTCCGTCTGAAGAGGTGAAAAGCCGTTTTGCTGCTCCTCGATTTTCTCTCTCTCTCTCTCTCTCTTTCACGAACATACGTTTGTTGCGCGGAAAGTTTGTTTATTTGCACCAAATAACGACTGCACACAATATAAAAATTTATTTACCTCTTCCTCGGCGCTGCGTCCGTTTCGAGGCTGCGGCGCACAAGAACTTTTATTTATCGCGCATCGTAAAATTGAAAGTCTATTTTCGCGCCGACCGACCTGTCCGTGCATTATTCGCAAGCGAGAAAACTTTGTTTTTCTTTCTCTCTTCGTTTGCAAAGTTGCTTCTGAAGCTTCTCTTTTTTCATCGATTGCACAAGAGAGGGCCGCTGGAATCGCAGCAGCAGCAGCAGCACCGGGCTGAGAGTTTCATTCGTCTTGATTGTCCGTGACGGCTCTCAATTACTTCTCTTTGCACGGAACAAGGAAGTTTCTCGCGGAATGAGATCGGCAAACATTTAATGTACTGCAAATGATCAAAATTGACTGCCTATCAATACCTTAACTTGTAAAGTGACAACAGACAAGTGATAATTATATTTGATTATTATTAGAATTTTCTTGATTTTTAAGCAAAATTGATTTTGTCCAATTTTTGTCTCATTTTCATGCCGAATATTCAAGCACAAGAGAACTTTATTACTGATCTGTATTTGTAAAATTTATTTTTATTTCAGCTAATTAAAAAAAAAATTTATAAATAATTCTAACTTTTTTCGAATAAAACAATTGCACAAAATTTTATTAGCTTCAACCCTCTATTTATATTTAAAATTTAAACCATCTCAATCTTTCATTAAAAATGAAATCTGCAAAAGAATTTAACTTTTCCGTAATTCATGTCAAAATTAAATATGTTGAATCTGTTTGTTTTATTATTTCTTTATCTATGATAGTGTGGGCTGTGACGTATCAATTTTATGTGGAGCACAACAATAATTCATTCACTATTGCCAACGTGAGGTTCTAATGATTTCCAAATCAGACTAATTTCCAATGTAAAAAAGCGACCCTAATTGCCGCAGTCGGAGGAACGAACTAACCACCGGCATGTGAGACCAGTGGCAGTTGCAATAATTGTGTCGGCCTTGCGCAACTTGAAACCTAGTTAAATAAACATGACAATGCAGGTGTGTAGAACTTTATTGCCCGCGTGTATGTTTGCGTCTAGCGCCACACTTTGTGCGCCTTTATGGTGTTCGGCAATTACCGCCGACCGAGCAGGCTAAACGGTCAGCGCTTTTATTCATATGCGAGCGGCTCTGATTTGGAGGTAGTCGAAGCCATAAATCCAGTCGTGACGACTTTTAATTAATTCAACGCGCCTGATGGGAAAATTTAATTACCCCGCCCGCGGTCGCCACACTGGACCCGTTTTTCGAAGCTCGTCCAGATAAATTGTTTTTGCTCAATCAACAACGGGCCGAGACACGAATGGAACTAATTTGCATCTAATTGGAAATCTTTCAACTCCGCGTAAAGTGGGTGATTTATCTTTCTGCAACTGAGTTGTCACCAGTGAGTGGATCTGAAAAGAACTCCAAATTGAACAACATGAAAATATCTAATCAGCCACAAAAAGAAAGATTGCTCTAAATTTTCATTTTCTAAAAAATCTGAAACTGGGAAATTATATTGAATTTAAGTAATTAAAAATTCACTAATTAGAAGTGAAATGTTTGGATGTGTCTTTAAAACATTTGGTCTGAATAAACTGAATAAATTTTTAATATAACTCTATTAGCTAGTTTGACATTCTTAAGATACAATATTTCGTAATAGAATATTATTATAAAAATACGTTTCTTTTTATTTCGGATAGATTTAGAGTTAATTTGATCATTTTTGTAATTTCGTTTTTTTTTTGTTTTTTGAAAAAAAAAGTAACAATATCAATTAAGTGAATCTTTTTAATCCAATAATTCATGGTTCACACATAATTTTACCAACAGCTCCAGGTGCACGCTCTGGAACCATGTAAGTTCCTGCCATGTCATTCCCAAAACTGATGGCCAGTCCATTAATGGAAAAGTCGGCCATCCTATCCCCATATCCGATGTTAATTTGAGCCGACAAATTGAACGGCTCCTTCGACAAGCACCAGCCGTACGAAGTCGAGCCTATTCTGCTTGCAGGCAGCCACGTGTGTCTACCTCGAGGGGCTAATTTCAGGGGAAACTTTATTTTAAGAGGAAATTCTATTAATTTTTTTTACTCATGGTCGAGTTGACGATACACTGAACTTTAGTGAAGGTGTTAAACGTAGCCATTTTGAGACCATATTTGCAGCATTTTGAGAATGCATATTCGTACGCATTCTGCGGAAATGGAAAAAGTCAATTATCACCAAAAATCAGAGAGATATTGTTTCACCTCTTCAGGGCATTGCAGATAATTGATGCCGCACGCTGTAAAAATTTGGCAGTTCGGGATCGCTTTTGTTTTTAATTGAAAATTTTATTTGGTACAAATTAAAATTGGTAAATACTTCTATTATTTTTGTAATCATCTTGCGCTTGGGGCTATAAAATTTAATCTCGTACATGTCACATGAGAATATTCTTAAATATAGTAATTTCTTACGTCCACGATGCATGGGATGTTAGCAATGCACTTGTGCACTTCAGTCGGAAGAGGAGCGTATTCCTAAAAATGGCGTCAATGCGAGATTGGTTTCCTGATTGAAATTACAAAGTACCACTGAGGAATTCCCTTTGACTGTTTGGATCACAGTCTGGAGAAATGCGGGAGCTTGTTCTTGAGCGCACTTCAATATCATTGCAGCAGTGTCGCATTCGTCCATTCCCTCTGAAAAACGTGCATAGTAAAGAGAAAGAGCAAAAAGTTGAAGAACTGAATAAAAAAAGTTATGTTGTCTGCATCTGCCAATTAATTGAAAAATCTTCGAAATCAGAAACTTACGTTTCGAGCTACATGTGCCAAGTGCAAGCATGGTGTTCTGCTTATCGTCCTCATTTGCTGCCAGAGTTTCAATCAGGGACAGTAATTTCTGATCAATAAGCTTCCCGTTCCACATCTACAATTATTAGATCATGAAATACTTGAATTGTTACACTGAAAACATTATTTACAAAACCACCATTTTCTCCCATGCACCTCAAAAAGCACTTGAATTAAGAAAGTTGTGGGTCTCTAATTACATACAATAATTCAAATTACTTTCACTCTAGTAGTAAGTTTAGGAGAGGAAGTCAAATCTAACGCAGCGTCAATCTCCTCTGAAATACCGGTGAATATGTGATCCATGTCTGAAATATTTTCATACCATCAGACACGTTGAACACTGCCATGCACTCGTTCAAAACGGCCTCCATATTGTTGGTAGTTTTCCTCGTGTCCCTAGACTCGCAGATATATCTATAGGTGTCAGTGCAGTTCGAGTCTTGCAACTTTGCTTCCGAATGGTTCGTGTGGATACTGACACAGTTTTCCTTCCCTCCGAGGTTGTTGGGCTCCCCTGGATACCAGATTGTCTGCTTCGGGCGAAAGAGCGTTTGAGCAGCTATAAGGTTGATTACTAAGCCATGCAATTTAGGGGCCTAATTCAGGTTCAAGAAGACAACCTTATTAATATTTAAAACTATACTAAATTTATTTCCCAAATAAATCTTGAACCCGACAAATAGAAACGGTATAATATATCTAGGATAAGCAAGTAAGCAATATAGTCATTAATAAGCCATAAGACATTCCCTAAAAATAATATCTATCACTTAAGCACATTAATCTTTAAAACAAAAGAGACCACAAAGAAGACCGTATTTGAAACAAGATATACAATAAAGTATAATTACGCTCAACAGGAAGATAGCCAAGAAGGCGCACATCTCGGATGGTGACACAACGACAATACAACCAGGTATCGTGCTCGAGCTACAATCACCCGAGTCACAGTTTCCCTGGGTTTAAATACATCTCGCTTCCCACTACTTGCTCTGCCCTTATCGACAAATGCACTTTTGCACGCATAACATAAAACTGCAGTCAGCTGACACTTGTCATGGTCATGACTGGCTCTCAATTACCGCCGACATTTCTTCAACTCATTAGCATAAAACAAAGTTTCACCACAAGTGGTTTTCCCCTTGAGCGTCTACATATATTGCGTTTCATTTTAAAAAAGGATATAGCTTACAAGGTAACACTTTAATGCAAGCTAGTTGCACATACTACTCTCTTAGTATTTCCGCTATTGACGCAGTTAGAAAGTCCAAGGCAATTGCATCTAATTAAATCCGCGGCAAACATCTCGCGGCTCGCCTATCTAACTTTATGATTACTCGAATTTCATATCACAAAAACTCTACTGTCCTCCTCACAGCAGCACACCAGGCAAAATTGTTTTTGCAGCCCTCATCGCTGCCCGATGTCCAAAATTTGCCCACGGCCGAGCTCGAATCTTCAAAATTTAAAAATATTAATTTATTATTAAGTAATAAAGGATTGTTTGTACTTCGAGCGCACGAAACCAAGTTTTTGTATTCATATTCAAAATCGACGCTGAGCAATTTCATTCCAATTAAGCAACAATTATACGTTGCTTGTAGCCACTAATTTGCACACAAATTTTTAATTATAATTATAAATTTTCAAATGCTATAATTATTTTATTTCCAACCGTTGCTTCGTTAAAGCTGAACAAGTAGGTTCTTCCGTTAATGAATTGCCATGATCCGTAGGTAGTGTGATCTGTTTGAATATGAAGCAAAAATATCTCAATAGGGTTATTTATTTGGGATTTAATGGAAACTTGTACTTAAAAGGTACTGAGTGTAGTAGTCTTGTAGTGTGTTCGAGAAAAGAGCTTGCTGAAATTGTTTATACACAATTTTCATTTTATAGAAATTTAATATTTAAAATATTGATGTCAATTACGTTTTTGTTACACCTGAATTCTGGACATTTTGGTTTATGACAGGGAGGAGCTGGTGTTGTAGACCCCTTAAATTAAAATATATTTCTAAATATCTCTCGATTATCAATATTTGTTCACCTGGCAACTAAGCGTGTACATATTGCTACACTTTTTCAAAGTCATTAACCAATAATATCTGTTGAAGAGACCCAGATGAATACAGGTTTCGTTAATTGTTGACGCGTTAGGATAACCCGCCGCCCATTGAGTAGTGTTCTTATCGAAAGTGAAATTCCCAACATTCCATTTATATTCGTCACCGATCTTATTCCCAGATGTCCAGTAGTTGACAACTTTGTGCCAATCGTAAGCTTCATTTTTATACGCAAATTATATTTTTACAAGCAAAAAGAGTAATTTTTAATATTTACGTTTGTCCATGTAAAAGAAACAACCTCCTTTGTTTCCATTTTCAAGAGTAATTGGCGTCATTCCAATGCTGCAGCAACGATCGCGATTTGTTCTCCAGTCCACCTTCATAAACATTGAGCCAAGAATAAAAAAATTGGTTCAGTCAGAAAAATATTTTGGGCACACATTTTGGCTAGATTCACTTTTTGTTCTCAGTTACTATTTTGATTTTTCGCAAAATTTATTTGCAAGACATTAATCAATTAGACTATCAAGTATGCAAACAAATCTTTTTTGTTACAAATTTATTCTGTAAAAAATATTAAAATGACTTACCGCAGATTTGCCCCAAAGGAATTGTATTCCACAAGCTGGCATCCAATATCCGTAACTTTCCGGATCTTTAAATTTTCCACATTAATTTCTTCTTCTGATCGTCTCAAATAAAATAATATAATTACCGATTAAATGGTCTGCTTTGGTAAATAACGATGTCTGAACAAAAATTTTTACGTTATAAAATGTTTGTGTTCATGAAATAATTTTCCATACGTTTTTTACGCAAGGTGACAGAGTTGAAGTTGTTGTAGTAGGTTTTATTGTTGTTGAAGTTGTTGTGGTTGTGGTTGAAGTTTTTGTAGTTAAAGCTGTTGTACTAGTTGTGGAAATTGCTGTAGACGTGGTTTCAGTTAGAGTTGGTTGGGCAGAAAATTGAGTTTCAGCCTTGGTTGCGAGTGAGGAAATTTCTGTTTTTAAAGTTGTTGTCTCGACCAATGTTTCATTTTTGTTTGTTTTAATAGATTCATTTTGAGGAGAGCTATTAATTGCAGTAGTTGAAGGGGTTAATTTTGTGGACGTTTCCGTCTCAACGATAAAAATTGGGGCTGTCGCTGAAAAATCTGATTTTCCCGTTGGTGACGGCAGAGAACTTGTTGAAGACAATTGATTCGGCCGTTCAGTTATCATAATTTCAACTGAATTAGTGGTTGAAATTGATTCTAAAATATTTCCAGGCATTGTTTCCTGCTCTATATGGCCGCCATTTGAAATTTCCAGAGTTGTTTCGGAAACTGTCACTGCGTCAGAGAACATCATATCAGTTTGAAAAGGTGCCGATTGAAATTCATTGCTGACGATCAGTTGTGTAGCACTGCCTTCATTTTCTAAAAAATAAAAAATAAAAAAGCTGTATTGTTGTTAATTTTATTCTTATACTTTCACTTGATTTCTTAGAGAAGTTCTGACAGGAGACACATTATTAAATGGATCTGTACTTGAAAAAGCTATCTTACTTCTCGGTTACTTGTTGAATTTCTTCTCTTGTTTGTTTTTGAAGTGTTAGAGCATGAATGTTGTCCACAGCATTTAATAATTACTGTCCTTATTGTGGCTAATAGAAGCACAGAGTTGATTTTTGAAGATAAATAATTAAATTTACCAGAGTTTTTTCTTAGAATGCTGGTAACGCTTTTCCTCTCTTTGGTAATTCTTCCTTGCCGACCGATAACTCCGAAGTCACAAATTATCTAAAATTACAGTCGAAAAATATAATACTGAGCATAATAAACGTGGATATTTCTCTCACCTGAATTAAAATTAAATTGAAGAGAAGCAAGTGCAACATCGATGTCATATTAATTAACCAACGGTCGAATGTGCTCTGTTTCATGAGTTTTGAAAAAAAGCTCCTATATTTTGCCTCACGTGCGTCACAGTTCCGTGCATGGCATTTTTTTTCCAGAACTGTTTCCTGTCCCAGAAGCGGACCATTTTTTAAGCATTTCCAGTTTGAAATACAACATATTATTGTTTTCATTTGAATAGGAGAAAAATTGAGGAACTTAAGATAACTTGAATTTGATCAATACTTAAAAAAATTGTTAAAATTATATACATCACCAGCGGCAACAGGCACCTTTTCTAACTTTGACCTGACTCGGAGACGCGTTGCACAACTCAGTTAAGAGATCCCCATCGCATGAATCACTCCCAGCTGCTTAACATAAATATTTTCCTAATTGGCCACCGATCGATCTTAATATCCCCACTAATTTAGACGGCTTCTCTTTGGATTGTGGTACTACAGAACTGCCAATCATCACGCAGCCTTAAATATTTACCATTACATTTCTAGTTCAACTTCAAAGAAAGCAAGGATTTAAGTGAAAAAAAGAGAATAAATTTGTTGTTTGTAGAGCTGAAAGTTCTTGCAGTCGAATTTAACTCAGAAAATTTGCTATTTTTTCTTGCATTTCGCTGATAGTTTTTGAAAAAAATTTCATTGTAGATTCTATAAAAATATAATATACCTTATCAATAGAAAGAATTAAAATATTTAGTGCAACTTTAGATATTTATCTATAAAATGTTCTGAAAACTATTTATTAGTCTGAATTTTAATTCTGAGAAAATTACAAATGAATAAAAACATAATTTATAGAAATGTTTAAAGACTCGTTATTTTTTCACCTCCCTGGCATTTCCAGAGACCTTTTATTTTTAAATTTTTCTAATATAATTGAAATCAAAGGCCACGCATCAGCTCTATTATGTTGGCCAAAAAAAAAGATGTCTTCCGCCAGAGCCATAAGGCCCCATGGCTCTGACGGCAGCTGTGTACCAACATAATTTTGGGATGCGCAGCCTTTGATTGAAATTATACTGAACTTTTGAAAAGAGTAATCTAAACTTGAAGTTTTAACTTTAATGAAGTCCACGGAGACAAAAATATAAATTTTCAGTAAGTCCTTGAATTTATGACAACTCTTTTCTATGTACCTGCTGCACCAAATAACATATTGCAAAATCCTTTCGTTGATTTATCGTTAATTAGATTTGACGCCCACGGTCTTTTCCTTTTCTCCTCAAGTGCCGCCGTTTTGGTTTACACACATTAAATAATTGATTCCGTGGAGTGACAAAGCACGCGCCGCGTTACGCGATTGTGTGCGTATTGCATGAAGTGCGTGGCTTGTTTGTCTCCGCGGGGAACAATAAAAAGAGAAAAGACCGAGGCGTGCGACTCTTGTCTGTTCATAGCGCATTATATAAAAAGACATTCCGCCGTCGGCCGTACACATTTCGCCAGATACAGAATCGGACCACCTAGCACACTCTGTCAGCTTTCAAGAAATGAAACGGATTGTTATGTTGTGCTAATTGCTTTTCTGCTTGACGTCATGATGGAGTAAAGGCCCTTGTGTGTATCTTTTAATTTGAGTCGGAATCACGGCCTACACGATTTCTAATTAATTGTTATCTGAATCAAAATCGCCGAAAATTGATTTACAACCATATAATTTCTGTTAATTGTGTTTTTAAAATAAAAAAGAGACCATGATCTTTCTAGAAATTTTTATAAGTGTAACGCAAAAAGCGGGTAATGGTGTATGATTTAGGGGGAGATAGCGTGGCGAAGTGGAAATATTTTCATGCACGCTAGAATGATAGAGGTGAATTTGAAACAAAAAGGAAACGTTCTGCTTTGTTGCACGCAGTAAGGCAATGTGCACATGACACAGTTTATGAAAATCAATATAATTTTTACCAACTTATCATGTTTGTTATTAATTAAGGTTTGATTAATAATCTGAGAGCTACTAAATTATGTTAAATGAAATTTACTGCTCCTGGTTAAAAAAAAATTAATAAACTAAAAAAAATTCTTTTCAATAGTAAGCAAAAATAAAATAAAAAACCGATTAAATCAATTGGTATGGTATTTGATCAATCACTTAGTTTTTTCTCCGTTCTCACTTTGCAATGAAAAACATCTTACTTGAAATCTAATTATTGTATTATAAAAATATTTCGCCTCTTGTTTTCCAATAACATTATTCAATTTTTAATTTTTAGGATCTGCGATTGATAAACAAGAGACGCAGAAAACTAGATTGAAATAAATACGTTTCATTTTGTATGAAATTATTTGAAATGAATCCAGCCAAGCATTATCGGCCATCCACAGCTGTGATGAAATAAAGCAAACACTATTTGCATATTATTCAGTTGTTTATCGATTGGATTTTGTTGGCTGGTCCATGGCGTTATCGTGCTGACCGCAGCAGCGGGAAAACAAAAGTGCCTACGCACGCACGCAATTTCCATAAAAACCAAATAATATTTCCAAATAATCAGCAGCCGGCAAAGTAAACAAAACGCCCGGAGAGCAAAAATGATTTTTCGACTTGACCTTTTTGTTTTGGGCGCCGGGGTGATTAAAAAATTACTCAATCGAAACGGCGAGACCGACCTCTGCCGGGCCTTACATGGCCACGCGATTGAGTCATTCATTGTTTATGGATAATTGCTTATTTTGGCCGGTCTTGCGTTAGGTAAGAGCAATCACGCTCCCGAGAAAGGATAAATTTATTCCACTTCTCAAGCGGACAACATGCTCGCAGATTTTGGCAGATTCGGGTAAATTGGCCGCGCTCCGGGCGAGAGACGGTAAAAGTTGAAGATCGGGCTGCGATAAAGGGGTTTCGCAACCGCTTCGACGGAGCCGGGCATCGACATATGTGCGAGCGCCGGGACCGTAATGGCTGACGCAGCTCATCTTTCTTGAAATGAAGACAGTTTTTCAAAGAAAATAGTTATGATAAAATTAGTGAAATTTTAGAAACTGGTACTAAAAATAAACTATGTTAATTTTGTTTTTTAAGATTTAAAAAATAATTAAACTCGAATTTTTTTCTCCCATTCTTTGTATTTAATATTGCATTATCAATTTTTTTGCTAAAAAAAATCCACTGTAGAGAGTCTTTATCACGCTGAAATGAAAAACTAGGCTCTCCTTGTCGAATGAACATTTTTTATTAATAAAAACTTCCATAGTTTTGTATAATGTCTGCATTCTTGAATAGTTTCAACAAAAAATTTGTTATTTAGTACAAGATCAAAAAATCGTAGCTAGAATGCTTCTCTCTTCAAGGAATTTTTTTTTTTTAATTTCTCTGTCGATTTAGAAATGTTCAATTTCATTACGTCCTTAATATTTTTTATGGCAGGATATTTATAGACAGAAGAAACAATATTTTAGTTTTTTTTACACCAATTTGTACTTTTAGGTGGACAAAAAACCCAAACTGAACTTCCATTAAATTTCATCTATGAAGCCCTGTCAATATTTATATATGATATTATTATTTATTCTGACGTTAATTAAGATATTTTCATTTATTAAGCTTCCCGTTGAAGGTCTTCTTCTTTTCATAGAAAAGTAAAGAAAAAAAATGTCACTTCCATATTATTCTTGTATGACTCGTACGGTCTCATTTCATCTGCTGGCGAACATTCTCTTAACGAAGTGGATGCACTCGTATATTTCTTGCTCAAAGTTATATATTTTTTCCATTTGTTTCCTTTTCTTTTTCTTTTCACGGCAAGTCGAGCTCCGTATCCCATGCAGGCAGGATACGGTGGAAAATGGGATCGCATTGTGCCATTACCTGACCCAGCGTGGACTACATTCTGCTGAGTGCACCCTCGGCGCCGCATTGCAGTCGAGATGGATGGATGCTTTTTGCAATCACGCACACTTTCGTGCTGCGCTCGCTCGGATCCACCCCGTGCGCTGCTCCTTTTGCGTGCGCTTAATTAAAAACTGAATTGAACTTGATGGCGCTGTAAGTCGTCGTTGCAAAGATTGCGTTAGCTTCGTGCTTTTAATTGACAGCGTTAACTGGCATTGTTTTAAATTATGCACGCTCGCGCAGGTGCCGATTAGCCAGCCCGGCTTCTTGGAATTCTCAACTCTGGGAAATTATAATAATACTGCACGCCAAGAGCTTGATAGTTTTCGAGGAAATTTTCATTATATGTGAATAAATTAAAGTTGACAGTTTCAGTCCAAGCCTGAATAGCTAGTTAATGAACAGTTAAATAACAAAACTTTGAACAAATCTGCAATAAATTTCACCACACATTAGAAGCTTCTTTATGAATGCCCTCAATTTAGATTTATATTTGTCTTCAATACTTTTAATCTTACAAAAAGATATGACGGGATCTAAATAATGATGTAATTATTAGATTATTTTTAGACCCATTCGGTAGTTAAATGAGCCACGTTAGGAAGGTAATTTTGATTTTGAAAATTGAAAAAAGTTAAATATTTCGAAAATTATCTTGCAACTATTTAATCAATATTTTGATAGTAGGCTTAGGGAATTAAGTATAATATCAAATCATTGCCAAAAATAAATAAATAAATCCTAAAGAACGGATTAGAATGTGGAACAAAAAAATTGCTGAAATTTCTGATTTCAAAAATTCTAAGAGCTATCATTAAAGCTATTATTAAAAAAATCATTTATAATCATTAGTGAACGATGATTTTAATTTTTCATTTAAATCATAAATAATCAAAGGATTCCTGCAGCTTTAGTGTGAGCTGCTTTTGCGGATAATTGCAAGGCGATTGCGCAAAGCCCTGCTCCCGTGGAAAGGGCAAAGACGGATGCAAATCTCTTTTTTCTTCTTTCTTTGTCGCCTTGCGGGCAGTTGCATGCAAGCTGGATTTGTTTGCAAAACGCCGCCCCGCGGCTCTTCATCTCTCTCCAGCGATGAGGGTGCGCGATAAACGCGCAGAGAGCAAAGTGCAGCGGCGGCTGACCTCCTCCAAAAGGCCACTCGACGGCATCACGAAAGCGACAACATCGTTTCAACACGCTCGCCAACTCGATAAACTGCGTGTAAATTTCTGCCCGAGATCAAACA